TGTCCATGGTGCGGCTAGTAGCTGTATCAACATGCCTTTCGTCTTTGAAGAGCCTCCCTTCCCATCAATCAACCTTATAATTTCTAAATTACCACCACTTTCCAGATCCTTCTTATTGTCCTTTATTGTATTGACTTTCCACCTTATTTTAATTTCAACTTCTCCAAACGTCATTTTTACTAGGTTCCAACCCTGCACCCACAGGCTCCCTCCTAGTACCTCATGCCTTCTCCCTTCTCCATTTTTAACCCCTCTAATTACATTCTGAGTATCTACAAATTTCTGCCCGTCATTAAAGACAAATCTTACTAGTCTCTGCTGTTTACTCACCCTTGATCGACTCTTCTTCTTTCCCCTCTCTTTCTTTCATTTCTGTCCATTCGCCCTCTTCACTTTCCTCATGCCCGTAGAGTTCAGTGTTGGTGATGAGTGCTTGATCAGGGTGTTCTCTACGGTCAACAACTCATTCTCCTGCATATGAACCAAGGGTAGTTCAAAATATTTGTGCCACTAAAACTTCCTCAACCATGAATATAGTTTATTCTCGTGCTTCGAGTGAGTGTCAGCTTCTGATAATTGCCTTATATGCTCCCCCCACCTATCATCCAGTTTTCTCCCCGTCTTCACAGTGTAGAAAGCTCAACAACTTACACTGAGTAACACATATACACATGAACCAGGATGAATCCAAAAATCTAGGATTGGGTCAAAGCATTCAATCAATAGGTCGACAAAACTTCCCTGCCCTTTTAAATTGTTCACGTCGGATTAATTTAAATATTACTAATCTGACTAGCGACACAACTAGATTTCTCACTTTCTTCGGCCCTTTAATCTCATGGAGGTCGCGTCTCAACTCGTTGAGTTCTCCAAGTAGCTCCCAATCAGTTAGTGCCTTCTGAGATCCTGTCATGCCCTCCTTGTTTTCTTCTTAGATTACGATTCCCCTTGACCTTGCGTTGGCAGAATGTGTTGGGCATATTTCAGAGTAGTCGAAATAGTTGCATATCGCTCTCGGTTCAGGTAGTTCCTCCAGTGCTTCTTCTTTCCCTCGCCAACTCGTTCTGTGGTTCTTGCAAAAATTCTTCAGCTGTGGTACTGTCTTCCTCTCCAGGAATGTCTTCACGGGTCCCTTGTCCGCACGTTATGTGGTGTAGTCTAACACGCTTGGGACCCCCCCCCCACGGGTCTTCGAGCTGTGTTTCCACCTTCTTCTTTAGAGGTCGCCCTCTCCCTGTTGGTTGCTCCATCGGGGATGCCACATGCACACCGCTCCCCTGCCCTTTTTTCATTCTCCTTGACTTTGGTGGTGTTTCAGCCGGTGGACTCGTGTTCGTAGGCTGGCTATACCCCCGTTTCCTCCTTTGGAGACATCCAATCCCATTATCCTATTCGGCGCCTTCTTCTTCCTCCTCTTCGTTTTCCATAATTCTGATTTTTCCCTACTTTCTCTCATAAAACCTTTGGAACACCATACCTATTGTGTCGGCGAGTTTCGACTTCAGCTCGTTTTGCATCGCCAAGAGCCTTTTCAAATTCCACAGTCGTTTGCCCTTTTCTTATCACCTTTTGCTTTCTTCTCTAATTCAATTTGTTTCAGTATCTCTCTCTTTGTCTCCACCTCCAGCTCTTTCCTCTTTTTTTTCCTCTTCCATCTTCTTCTGTTCTTCTTTCTGCTTCTTTTCTTCCACGTTGTTCCTGAACCACAGTGTCATCGTTCCTAGCGATTCTTCTACCTCCTTTGGCAACTTGACAACAACGCCTGGTGATTCGGCGCCATCACTAGTTTGTTGCCTATATCTTCCGCCTTGTTTTTCTTGCGCTTGGCAATCCCTTGCCGAAATGTCCAAATTGGCCACAGTTACAACATCTGCTATTATTGTCCCCTCTCCAGTATCCTCCACCTCCTCCATTCCAGCTCCCTCTGCTCCATCCTCCGCCATTGTTTCCGTATCCTCCACTGGTCCTTCCTCCATTCCCTCCGTTCCATCCGCCGTTCCCGCCGTTGTTGCAATTCCCATTAGGCCCGTTAGGCCCATGAGGGCCATTAGGTCCGCCCCTGTTTGGTCTATTCTGCCCATTCTAGTTGGGTCCGTCCCAACCCCACTGCCCACCTTGGCCGTTTCCGTTGCCATTCCCTGCTCCATTATTCCCTTGATTCGGAGCTCCTTCCATAGCATCACTTTGTTGTCCCCGTATCCACTCTCCTACTTCTATCTCCGTCGTCACCGTGTCTTGGTTGCTTCCCGAGTCGGGTCCGATGTCTTCACCGTAGTGTGAGATGTTCACAAATAGAACAACGTCTACGCATCATAGACTGATCCAAGCATAGATTTCAACACTTCGACATCAGCAGTGCCAATGTGAGTACTGGCTCAACGCCTCAACATCAACAACGCCGATGGATTCGCAACGAATCAGAATTAGCGGCTTAGAATGTCTCGTACAGTTACCACCCTCCGCATTCTCCTCGACATGTTTCGACTAGCATCGGAACTAGTCATCATCAGGAGGAATCTGAAAGGTGAGAGGATTAGCTAGTACCTAGTGTCCCATATATAGTAAGTGAGATAGCATCCTCGTGTCATGATTCCCCCAAGTTCCCTTCCCGAGTTCCATCTGTTGTCCCTCGGTACTTTTTCCACGTTTTTCTCTCTTCGCTCCCTTTTCCCGTGAACTCGGCTTAGTAGAACCTCTTTGTTTGTACTTCCTTGCGTATCTCCCTTACTCTGTTTGAATCTCATATTTTAAAGTGTGTTTCCTTAATGACCTGTGCGCTAACTTTATTTTTCCTTTTTCCTTTCCTCACTTCCCTCTCTCTCATGAACCCTTTTTTTCCTTAGCATCTTTGTCTGTATGTGGTTACACATCTCCCGCTCTCTGCCTGAATGTTATATTTTGGCACATATCGGATACTTAGAAGACCAGGTTCACCCATTGACGTTCCACTTGGCTGACGAATTTCCAGAGGACCCTTTGAAGAAACTCTTTCGGGTACCCCACCAACCCGACTCAATCCTTAGGGCTTTTATTGAGACTTTGGCCTTTGCCGCATTCGTAGCGCAACTCCTGATCCTATGGAGCATGCCCATCACCTTCGCATGCTTTTGCCTCCAGTCCGTGTAGGACTCAAAATCATGCATTGTTCTGAACCCGACCTGCTCTTGGCAGCTCGGAACAACATCCTCGTTCTTGCTTTTGTACCTGCAGTCAATTGTCAGAGGCCTATTTGAAACCTTTATACTTCAGCCCAAAAAAACCCATTTGTTTTCTCCCCCATCTGTTCGGACCAGTTGCAGGTTATTATCGTACATCCCTTCTGCCTCGCTTCTCGCATTCTCCATCCTTTCCCTTATTATCTCCTGCTTCCCTTTCCAAAAGAACAGTGAAAGGTCGTCTACTAATCTGATACCTCTGACTAGGTTCCTGTCCGCCCCACAACTGGACAGGAACCAAAATTCAGAGAAGATACAAAGTAGATTCGCCAAAGGTGGGCTACTGTTTTTTCCCAGCGCTATGCGCACCTTTTGTCTAATCAGTTTCCCTGAAGCAACCAGGCAACTAAGGTAAGTACTCCTCAGTTCGTAGTCCATAAAATTCAGCATTCAAATCCTATTTCCACCCATTCCCTTGTATCCTGTTTCCTCATCGATGCCCTGTTCCCTTTCCTTTTTACAGACACACTCCTGTGTCCTTTCCCCACAAAGAAGGTCAGTTTACATTCCATAGCCCTTCTAATAGAGTCATGGGGAAGCTTACTAAACATTTCCTTAATGTCGTATGATCGGACCTTGATTTCCCCGTTCACGCCCTTGCTCTTTCCCCAGCTTTCAATCCTCCTCAACCTCTTTTTTAAGTCCTTCACTGCATGTAAGTTAAAATGGCTAGCCACAGGTAGATATTTTATGAGGCAGTTAATTCCTCTCCCGATCCTTTGGCTTGCACATTTCATAGGTTCGAAAAGGAGGGTCTGATAGGTCTAAGCTTCATGGTGTCCTTCTGCTTCGGGACTACATGGCATCTGCCCCACCTTCCTTCCTTGCTCCACCTCCCCTTCCAATTCTTTTAAACCCTCTCTCCTCATACTCTTCCCTGCACTTCATCAAAGTTACCAGCTCTGTTTCATATATCGCTTGAAATGCCTCGTTCCCCCAGAACATATCGTTCATCCCCTTTGCGTAAGTGGCTGGACACATTACCAGCTCTTCTGCTGGGTTCTTATCGACTGGGGTGCATACAAATCCTCTCGTTAGCCATTTTACATCCATAAGTCCGTTATCCTTCATGGTTTTATTCCTCCTTCTTACACACTCCTTGATTCTTCTCCCTTTATAAGATTATGAGAGACCATACCTTCCAAGATCTGTCCCAATCTCCTTCCGCAGTGAGGTAAATAGGTTACGGTTCCCTCTCTACAACACATTCTTTGCATTTTTCAGTCCCTGGGCAATACCCCCCTCTTCGTTAATCCTGCAACTCACATGGTCCCCGTCTTTGTGGAGGAAAGAGCCTGCAGACAGGCAGACAGGTACCATCTTCTTGGTGTGCTCTCGATGGTTATGCAGAAGGTTGCCCATAGTAGGATTTTTCCTCCATACCACGCGTAGCCTTCTGCACATGAGTCGTGAGAGTAATTCAGAGTACTTGTACTGCTCTTTGATCTTGTTTTTTACTATTTTTCAAACTTTTTCTTGCAGTTTCGAACTGGTCTTCGCCCAAGTTTGCGGTGGACTGTTATTCCTGCGAATTGAAACTGTGCAGAGGTCACAGGCGAGATGTCTCTGTTCTTTTCTATGGCACTGCACAGAGAGTCCATGCGTGTTTCCACATGCACGGAAATCCAAGAGGCCATACTCCATCGGGCAGTTTTCGTTGGGCCCACCACCTTCATCTTGCGTAGCGCTTCCAACCCTCCCCCGAACACGGGAAACTGTGGCGCCTTAACGTCGAAGGCCCGCGGCCCATGTATGGGCCAAGTACCGGTGGTTTAAGGACATAAATAAAATATGGCTTCATTAAAATAATATCATAACCAATAATAATAATAAAATAGAAAAGGAGAACTGTCAGGACCCAATGGTCACTCGAACAGGCGCCACCCTTCAGTCGAAGCCCGCTTTTCGATTCAGCCTGAAAGGACATAGGTTGGCGCGCAACAGTCCCATATGGGGATCCCGACGGGCGCCTTCCTTCCTTCAAAGCAGGCTCACCGGGCTTCCCCTGAAGGGTACCCGTGTCCGATGGCAGGGAGGGGGCTTATGACCTTCCACGGAAGGTGATAAAGTCCTCTATCGAAGCGGCTGCGGGTTCAGTATGCCGCTTCTGCAGTGTGATGAAACGCGGAGGGCTGGTTGGTCTAGGCCACCCGCTTATGGACACGGTTCGGAATCGAACCATTTGCCCCTCCCCCCCCCAGTGAAGTGACAGAAGAGGAAACAAGATCTAAGAGACAACTGATAGAATTAATTGTAGTAGAGAGAAAAAGGAAGAAAAGAAAAGGAAGAAAACGTAATGCCTCTGCAACTTGAAACCCTTGGATCGCTCAGAGCTAAAATGGCAGTCTGGATCGAGGTGCCCATTTGACATGCGACTTTTCCTCACTCATGTACTTTCTTTTTCTTCTCTTTCTTTAACTCTCTTCTCGCTTGACCATGACAGCCCCGCTGCGTACCTAACCCATAACTTGACGAGATGGCACTCGGCGCGCAGTGGAAAAGACAGTGCCCGTCCCTCTCTCTCCGTGTCCCCGGGCGACCCTGGCGGCTCCCACGGCTGCAGACCGGTCGTGCTCTGCTGTACAACAGGGTGCCAAGCCTGCGTGGACCAAAGGAAAGTCCAGTGGTGCACCCCCTTCTTTTGTCAGAGAGGGCACCGACTGGACCAGTCCTACAGCAGAATGCAACCCGAGTGCAGCCTGGTATGCCGCAGTTCCAAAGAGTAGGGAGCTGGTACACAGTGATTCCCATGAGCAGCGAGCTGGTACGCAGTGGAGGGCTGGGACACTGCGCCCTCCGACACCGTGCTTCTGGTAGCTTCACGTTGGGCCAAAGTGTCTGCGCCCAGGCCCGTTCAGACAGTGGCCTGGGCCCGCATCAGTTAGGCGCGCCCAACCACTCAGCGCCCAACAAGGTGTTCCCTGCTCTCTGATTGGCCCCGAGGCCAGCTTCCAGGACCTCGAGGTCAAGAGTAGAAGAGCCTGGAAGGCTCACAGAGACTCTGATGCTCGCTAGCAGGGCACCTGTAACCAACTGGCGCGTGGCAGCTGTCTGGCGCCAATCAAGGCAGGCAAATTTTGCAATATTTCGGACTCTTTGAGATACGGGGCCCGCCTTCACTTAGGGCGGGCACTATGCTTGCAGCGAGGGCCCCCTTACGGGCATGCCGAGGACACAAATCCTCGCAACTGGTCTTCCAAATTTCCAGTCCTTCTTAACTGGGTGGATAGGTCGTCTTGGTTTCTGCATGTCTGTAGACAGCACGACTAACCATTGAAGTATTCCTATTGGTCGTTTGAGGGCTGAGGTCCTGACCTGTCTAGTGGCTCTTGGTGTGGGTGGCAGTTCTTTTTATTGGTTGGTGATGCAATCCTGAAGCGTTTTGCATGCCAAACAAAAAAAAAACATGAGTGATACGGTCCCATTATTTCTGTTTGGAAAATAAAAATAATCTTGAAAATGTTTTGTCTCTACACTCATGGATGGCATGTTTGAAGGGCTTTGGAGTCGTACCAATGCCATTTGGTATGTGATGGCTATTTGATGTTTTCCTTTTCGAATGGAAGTATCCAGGGAATGCCATCATCTGCCAAGTCCTCAGAAGTCTCTTGTATCGGGTCCCGGGGTTTGTCAGTATGTCTCCGAGGGGATGGAGAGGTGGCTTGCTGTGGCGGATGGGTACCCGAGTTGTCGTTGGCATCTGATGCTCTCTGCTGTCTGATATCTGCAATACAGTACTGACTCTCCAGTCCTTTGGTTGCCAGTCCTGGACCAGTTGCACATACAACTACTAAGAGTTATGCAGCTCCATCGGTCCTATTTGGCACATAGCAACGGTCTGAAAAGGTTTAGTCACTGAATTACAAAATAAAAAGTGATGGAGATGAAGACACAAAAAATAACAACTCATAGATGTGGAAAACTGTTGTGGCGTTCCTCACCAATGGCCTTGCAGGCATACCACGACATTGTGCAGGAGTACTCCGGAAAGTTCAAGGAAGAATTTGGTAGATACAATTATGTAACTCCCACCAGTTACCTGGAGCTCCTTTCCTCTTTCCAGGTATGCCACATGTATATCCTTAGCACCTGCATACCTTCAGATGATGACAGGGCAACCTGTTATTGCGTTTTTTTTTTTTTTTTTTTTTTTTTTTTTTTTTTTTT